AACACTCACATACCACTTATACACCCTGTGGATAAAGAGCCCTCACTGTTTCTATAGCAGTAGCTGATCAGGACCACAGACTTTATAATGACTGAAGGTACTGATGTAGTAACAAACAAAAAAGTGACATTTCCGTTCCCATCCAGTCTGCCTTCTGATCACAGGCACAGCATCCTAACCTGCTATAGAAACAGTGAGGGCTCTTTATCCACAGGGTGTATAAGTGGTATGTGAGTGTTATTGTTAGCAGGTGTGTTAATGTGATGGAGCCCAGAGCTGGGAGCTTCTGTATGACTGCTGTCTCTGGCAGCTCGCTATCGCCCTCTGCTGGCCTTAGCTGCTCCTGGCTGAGGATTTTTTTTTCACCATGACAGTCTGGAAGCCAGATTTTATATTGACTGAAGTTAGTGATGTAGTAAAGCAACATGTTTTCCATGACTGTCCTTTGAGTGACAAACAGCCTAGAGCCAGAATTTCACAGAATGTTCAAACTCTAAGTGGAAGGCCACTGGTTCAGATATCCTGGCCGGCAGAGTGATGTCATTCCTGGATCCTTCAGCAAGGCCCTTAATGCCAATCACTGCAGGGGCGCTGGATGCTGGCCAACCCTGCGCTGTGACCCCAAACTTCCTCTCACCTGTGTGTGTCTGTGTGTCTCGTAGAGAGAAAATGGGATGGGTGAAAATACAATTTTCCCATGGGGATGAATGAAGTTTCACTGTTCATAAATATTTATTTTAAATGAATGTTCCTTTTAAAAGCATATCTGAAAGGGTTGGTAGTCTGACAATTAGGGTATTGGTGATTTCATAAGTTCCCAAGTAGAGAAATACAGAAAAAAGGATCTCACTCACAGGATCAGGAATTCAGGTGTCATTTAAAAAGCATAAATTCCTTTGGACATCATTCAAATCCCACATAAACACACACACACACATATCCCAGGCAGGAACTGAACCCGAAACCCTAGATGGTCGGCTGTAGTGCTGATCACTGAGCTACAGCGCTGCTCAGAGCTTTATGAAAATAACAACAAACAAACAACAAACAAATTTATTTTTGTATAGTGCATTATCACAACATTACATCGTCTCAAAGCGCTTTACAGCATCCCCACCCAAAGCCCCCAGTGAGTAAGCCATAGACGACAGTGGCAAGGAAAAACTCCCTAGAAGGAAGAAACCTTGGGAGGGACCAGACTCAAAGGGGGAGCCCATCCTCCAGGGGCCGGCAGGGA